CAACTTTTTGATAGGTTTCAAAACAAACTGGCAGAAACCTCTTTCCAACTGTCTTGCTTTGAGTCTTTCAACCATTTACCACTCTCAGCATCAAAATAATTATCTCCCCACAATTTTTCTGCCACAACATTCACATCCATTCCAAACTTTTTCGAATAAAACTTGGCAAAATCATGCAAATTAAAAGCCCAACCTCCCAATGCAGATCCAAAAGTAACATGACCATTCTGTGGATCTTAGGATTATCATTTTGTATTTAAGGAATTTAACAGCTGAAGGTTATCTATATGGATTCTATATATTACATTTTGATCATTTTTTGCCAGTTTTTATGATTTTACATATTTTAGTTTGTTATCTCAATATATATATATATTTCAAATTTAAACCCCACTTATTAATTAGTAGCTTAATTCTTTATAGTTATAAATGGAGAAAAACCTAAATTATTGATCAATAGGAGTTGCTTAATGACTACTAAAACATAAAAATTGTTCAAGATGAATAGAAACATTATCAGACTCGTATCATTTCGTTCTGTTGGTATTCTGTTAAAATACCTTTTACTACTTAAACACAAAGAAGAACAATTCTTGGAGTTTTTTTGCAAACTTTCCCCCTTACTGTAGTGCAATAAAAATTGAACATTCAAATATATATATATATTGATAAAAATAGAACTCGTTTCTAATTTCACAACACAACACCCCATAAATTGGATAGTTGTAATTTTCTAATATATATATATAACAGAATTATTACAATATTCGCCTTATTTAAGGTGTTCTATTTGTTTTCTATCTAGTAATTTAACTTTAATGTTGGTATCATTGTTTTTCAAAGAGAAAATCTTACTAAATAATCTTGAATGTAATCTCTCCTGTTACTTTTCACCCTTATTGAATAATATTTTCTTGATTGCTCTCCTTTTATGAGAAGAAGTTTGGGTAACATAATATATATTTTCATTTATTTAACATGGCTAAAAAAAATACAATAAATATCAATTTCTGCATTAATTGGATTGTAGAGGGTCAATATTTACTGAGGGTGTTGAAGACTTACCTTTACAGGAAGTTGGTACAACATGATTTATTGTTCTCTCCTAACAAACCTGTAATGGGATGTTTGAAAATCGTTGACAAGAACATTTGTACGTTTTTAATTATTGATAGAGAATGCTGCTTACCAAGATGTAGTACATGTTGAACAGCATTCAAAACAATACAACTGAGTGCATTGTGATATGTTGATATCACCAAATCGGCATCACTATTTTAGGATGTTGTTCAAAGAGGAAATACTTTTTCTGAAAAACAGTACATTTAAACACTTTCATAGTTTGTTATATATATATATATTACAGAAAGTTCTCCTATTACCCAAATACTTACTTGTTATTTTTCTGTAAGTTTTGATCCTCTTCAAGTCAGATTGAATTAGTCCAATTATTGTTTAAATAAACAAGATTATTTGCTGAAATGCTTGAAATCGGAATTCATTAAACTGATTTTGTCATAATGCATGTTGTTGAAAATATTTCAATTTAATAATCTTTAAATATTGATTAAGAAAGGAAATCAGTAAATTTATCTTTAAATAATATATTAGTTTCTTTATGGAAAGGTATGAGTTTTCGTGGTTATTTTATTGATCAAGTTATCCTTATTTAGCTTCCTTATTAACTTTTGTTCTAATATATATATATATTTCAAAACAAATCAAGAGAATACATTTTTCGAAAAGTTTTATCTCTTGATAGTTAGTAATCTGAAAGGGAATCTTCACCTATTTATCTCTCAGTTTTCATAAAGAAAAATATATAAAACAAAATGATAATCCTAAGTTTTTGAACAATCTCCCATTCTGCTTGATTTTCAACACTATTGAATTGGGTAGATGGTGTAGAAAGATCCATACACAATCTCCAAATACAAGTCAAACATCTTTGCAAGACGTGGTAATGTTGCTTGGTCATTCTTGTTCTGATTGGTTGATTATTTGTTACTGGGAGTGGGCTGTTTCTATCGCTACCAGAACTAGTACCGAAAGGATTGGATGAACCTACAGATGGTGGAGCACTATTAGGTCCGTTATTAACTTGGTAAATGGATTGAATGGTACTGATTGGTTGGTATAATTGCAAAATGGAAATCATTAATTTGTAAACGTGTATTCTGTAAACATAATTCCAAATAAGTTTCAATCTTTCGCAACCAGTATTTCTATTCAAATTATTATTAATCAAAACATCACACAATAAATCCAAACAGAAGAGGGAAGTATCTAAGTCTCTTTCATAATAGTAATAGGTTGAGGTAGTTGCATTTTGTTGTTTGGTTGTTTTCAATGTGAACAAGTGAGGAGCAGAATGAATGTGCCAATTAAAAAATGCAAGACGATAAATCATCAATTCCCGAAGTTGTTGTTGATGATGAAGAAACAAATCCAACTATTCCAGGACATGAATCCATCATTGAACAAAATCCTTCTT